TTAGTCTCATCATCCCAATCACATCCATACATCCTCTGATACATATGAACACCTGAAGAAGAAAAGGAGTTCTCTAAGATCTGCTCTTTTTTTTACTGTAAAAGATAATTCTTTGACATTTAAAACTATGGTATAAAGTATTGTAACTCACCATGTGACTGATTGAATTGCTCCATTAGAACAGTAATGTTGATTTTGTTGGTCTGCTGCACTCGTTCTCTGAACTCAGTGTATTCTTTAAATCTGTCTTCAGATGCAAACTCCTTCATCCAGTCCTGTTTGGGAATCAGCTTCATCTCACTGTCATAATAATCAATCTGCTGTCCATCCAGTGTAGTTACAGCAGAAATATCTGGGAATCCTGCAGCCGTCTGTCCATTTATTTCAGTGTAAAGTGTGGGGAAGATGTGCCTCTCTGAACAAACAACAAGACAAACACAGTTAAACACCACATACAGTGCCATAAATCAAATTACTGTTTGAGTCGTTCAGTTTTTTCTTTTAATTTCACATCACTACTTTTGCAGTTTCATCATAAACTAGATAATGTTTGTCAAGACAAACTGTAGGTTGACTTGAGAAAGCCAAGCCTGAAAGTTTGAAGTAGTTGCTTCAAATCTTGAAGATAGATAGATAGATAGATTGCTAATGTATTTTAGCATGTTGTTAACATGATTTAAAATTACTAGCATGTTTTGGCATGTTTCTAACATCATTTAACACACCGCTAGCATGTTTTAGCATCATTTAGCACACAGCTAACATGTTTTAACATGATTAAACACACCGTTAGTATGTTTAGATAGATTTAAAAGCTCAAAATTTGAAGGTTAAGTTTCTCAGACAGATGCAACTGTGTTCTTGCTGGTTTTGAATGGGTGCTATGGTGTTATTAGTTGGTTTCTAGGGTGCCCAAGGTGATTGCTAGGGTGTTGCTAGGGTACTCTGGATGGTTGCTAGGGTGTTATGGGTGGTTGCTATGTTGTAGCTAGGCAGTTGCTAGGGTATTCCAAGTGGTTGCTATGGTGTTATGGGTGGTTGATAGGTTGTTGCCAGGGTGTTCTCGGTGGTTATTAGACCATTGCTATGCGGTTGCTACGGTACTGTTGGTGGTTGATAGGCAGTTGCTAGGGTGTTTTGAGAGGTCACTAAGGAGTTATGTGTGGTTGTTAGGGTGTTTCCATGTAGTGTCTAGATCTTTGTAGTTGTTAGGTCTGCCATGTAGTTGCTAGCATGTTTGCTAACCTGTTTCTTGCATGTTTTAACACCTCGCTAGCATGTTTATAACATGTTTGCACGTTTCTAACATGATTTAACACATTGTTAATATATTTTAGCATGTTGTTAACATGATTACACAACACATTACTAGCATGTTTTGGCATGTTTCTAACATTGTTTAACAGACCGCTAGCATGTTTTAGCATGATTAAATGCACCACTAGTATGTTTAGATAGATAGATAGATAGATAGATAGATAGATTTTTTCACTAATTAGGCATTACTGAAATGCTTTAAACCCAAAACCCACCTTGTGAAAACGGTTTTGATATTGCATCACCATGGAAATGGTACTTTAAAACCTTTTTGCAAGCTCATTTTGTGACATCAACTTCAAATTTGGAAGATGATTTAATTAGACATAGCTACAGCTTTGCAATACCAACCTTAGGTCTGTATTGCAAAGTGTTCATGAATCTATGGATCTATGTTTAAAAAAAAATGGGGGTGACAGTTAACAGGTTAATTTAAATTAAAGTGATCATAATTTTAGTCATTCATATAGGACTAATGTTGTCATGATTCCAAACTTTTGACTTCGATATGATACCTGACTAAAATATCTCGATAGATACTACTACTGAACCGATACCATGACAAGAACCTAAAACAACTGGAAAAGCAACTGAATAATAGATGACCCACATGAAACTTATAGTTCGCTATATTATCTATTAATTTAAAAAATGCCACCACACAGGCCTATGGTGAGCAACTATCAGTCTATGATATAGCTGATTCTACAGGTAAATAAAGATCTTTGAAACATTGGTAAGTTAGCTAAAAGAATAAAGCCAAATTAGACTGTAATTATTGAGCTCAACTGCCCTGTCAAACTCAGATGGTGAAAAAGTTCACGTGTCACAAAATAAAGCACACTCTTTTGACTTACTGTATATTTGAGCTAGAGTTGGGAAATATGACCAAACTCTTGTTTCACAATGAGAGTAATTTTAGTTCATGATGCAAATAAAAACATAGATGCAAATCACAAACAAAACGACATACATTAAAACAAAGACACGAGTTAAATAAACAGTGTTTTTAGGTACAGTAGGTCTATTTAACAGTAGCACTGAAGTAAGAAATGATACACTGAATAAAGTAGTCAAAATGTAAAAATTAAATATTCACACATTGGTCTTATTAAAGCTACTGAAATTAGTCAGTCAAGATCAGTAAGTGATTTTTCTTTTATTTTGTTGTTTGATCAACATTATAGATACAGACAGAAAGTTTAGTCCCAGAAGAATAATAACTATAAGTTTAAATAGCATTTCAGTAGTTTTTTCACTACACTGTAAAAAGATTACTGTGAAATTTACAGTAACTTGCTGGCAGCAATTGGCAAGTTGCTGTAATATATTCCACAGTATGCTGACTGTAAATTTAATCCTAGTACAGTAACTTTGAGCAGTCCTGCACACTGCGTGGATGTATAATGTTTGGCCAGTGTTCATGCAGGGAGCTGAAGAAGAGCTGAACACACACTGTCCTGCTGTCGCACGTCGACACAACTCAGGAAATATGGCTCTTATTAAAACAATGCCATTCTTAAAGTATTCTTAAAGTGTATTAGTGAAATGAGGAATCGCACAGTTTTTTAAAGCAGGGTATCGCAATACATTTTTAGTACCAGTATATCGTGCTACACTATATAGTACTAGATAAATAATAAAATAAAAAGGAACAAAATAAGTAAATCAAATTAATAATAATAATAATAATAAATTGTTTTGTATATGAGAAAATTAGATTAGGGTATTTTCAGGGATATTATCGATAACTAAAAATATTAAAAACATTTATGTTAATTAAAATAAAGCTGAAATAAAACAAAATTGATAATAATTATAATATGAACATTAATTGAAAACCTGAAAATTAAAACCGTTGCCTGGCAATTAACTAAGTTTACATTGAAGCACTGGAGATAAATAAAAATTAAAATAGCAATATTAAAATATACAAACAACAACAAAAAATAATAAAATCACAAAAGCACACAATTACTACAAAATTTAACAAAAATTATCAAGAAAAAGAAACGTATAAAATAAACACTGATTCAATATATTAATAAAACTAAAGTAACACTGAGTTCAACACACGGATGTAGCTGAAGGCCTTGCTGACAGAAATCTTTCTTTTTAATGCCATGCCATCTTCTGTGGCTATATTCATGGCGAGAGCCAAATTTAATTATTCAAAGATAAAACTAAATTAGATATTTAAGATTTTTTTTTTGTTCTAAAAACCCTAAGACTACATTTGGATTTACTTGGTTAGCTGACAGAGAATTCATCCCTAATTATTTATCGTTAATCTGACCTGAGTAAACAAAAGGTTCACAGATGAAGAAAATGATGAGCTTCATTATGGACAAAAATCCATGCATTTGACTCTCAAATAAGCGTAGCTGTGAAAGTGCGCTGCAAATACTCTTCAAAAACTTCACCACATCCACAGGAAGAAGTGGTTACTGACGGAAGCTGCAGGTCTATATAAACATTTTCAGTATGGATGTTTAAGGAGGAAAGTTTTACTCACAAGTTGACCGCTTTATTCAGTAACCATTTTTTTCCAGACAGACATTCGATCATTTCTGTTAACACTTTATTTTGATACCCCACTTTAGACATTCTACTGACAGGTAGATCTAACACTAACATTCAGATAGAGAAATACTGCAGAAATGTAATGAAGTAATCAAATGTAAAATAACACTGGATAGTCTTCACTGTATAAATAAATACAGACAAGACCTTACAGTTAAAGTTTCAAAAAGTTTAGTCAAAAGCAGTGAGTGACTTGCTCTTTGACTAACATTAATGACACAGACAGCAGCAGGTTCATTAGGCTGCTGTCACTTTAAGACCTAATGTACATATCTAATATACTGTTACACAAGCGGTTTCCTTCTCAACTGTTTATACTCATTTAAGACATAACCGACTGCGTTTGTAGGAATACTGGCCATGATGGGCGTTTTGAAAATTTTGTGTGTATTAGAAACTTTACGTGCAATACACCATGAAAAAGAACTCAGTTCAGTAGTCGCGAGCTGTCTGAGAAGCGGTTTCATGTGTGCACGCTTTGGGTGTGTAGATGCAGTAGACCGCACATATTCTCACATTCGCACATATTCTCACCTTTATTGTGGTGTAACAGTGATCCAATATATTGCTGTCTCTGGTGGGACATTTCTTGCCAGTCAAACCAAAAATACTTACTTGAAGTTAATATTTCAATAATTTAACATTACATTTGCTTGCTCTCTGCTGTCAGTTAATGGTCATAAAATTTTTTCTTCTTATAACATTAATCACATTTCAATTAATCCTAAATCTATAAACAAATGATGTCAAAAGTAATCCAAAAGTGGTCAGAATACATTACCTAAAATGAGTAATCTTGACTACGATTTTTAAGTAATTTACCCAGCACTCTTTAAAGGCCATTTTCGTTTGAAATATTTACAAATGGAAAGACAAGATCACACACAGTAACACATCTGAGGCAGCTGCTATTAGCATGAGTTTCATATACAGACAGTATCTGGTTTGCATTTGCACCTTCATATCCAGTGTGGTAGGACAGACCCAACGTCACACATACTGTATGTTAGAAAGTGTTTCTTCTTATTCCTTCATGTCATATCTTGCCCAAGGCACCAAGTGAGCAAAAACTACAACTGATGCAGGTTTGTGACGTCCTCGTGGAAATTATTTAACACTGAAACCGGTTTTGGTCCTGAAGAATCCCAACTGGACTGGAACCTGAGGCCCGTACAGATGAACGGAGGAAACTCTTCAAAGATTTTGATCTGCTTTTCGTTCGGACCGACTGCCAGCTCTTACTTCACGGCTGCAAAGTAATGTCGTACATATTCGTTCAGATTTTTAATTCTGCTTGTGTAAATTCTGAGGACATTCCCATCATCCTACAGCTATTGAAGCTGTTCACGGAAAAACTGTAAAAGTACTTACTTGTATACATTGGATCGAAAGACAAATATACAGGAATAAGGAAACTCCTGCCACAGACAGAAATATTTTTTTGAAGAATGCTTTTGTAAGTCCTTAAAAACACAAAAATTATACTTAAAAAGACATACAATAATATACAGAAACAGCAATATAGGTCTGAAAAAAGTAAATGCAATGAATGATTTCGGTCTGTTCCTCAAACAAATCTATAATTTGACTTAAAAGACTTGAAATACAGTGCACAAGTCCTATTGACAAATTAAGTAATACTTATTCTTGTCTTTTTTTTTGACAAAGCTTGACGAACTTAGTCACTTTTATTATACAGTATGACAGAAGAAGAACTTCACAATATACCGCACTATTAATAACTTACTGTCGTTACTCTTGATCTCGTTCTCTCTCAGAATCTTCCGGATGGTCCCTGTCTCGTGCTCCACCACACAAACATACTGGTGCTTCTTCCAGTCGTCTTGAGGAACATTGAGGATAGATGTCTTCTGGAAGGTCCCATCCTCATTTGGCAGTAGCTCTCCAAGATCCACATCCTCATCATGATCTTCTCCATTTTTTAACCAGGTGATAGTCACTGCTGATGGGTAAAAACCTGTGGCATGACACTCCACTGGAGAGGAGGAACTCCTCTGTAACAGAGACACTACAGGAGCTACAAAAAAATTAAGAAAAAGTGATGAAAATACTTAATACTTCCAATTTATGCAATAGATCAACTTAAACATAAACACAGCTACAATTTGTTTGAACCCTTCAGTGCTCCTCAAATGACACCTGAAATGTAACAGAAAAAAAGTAATATATTTCTGTTCAATATTTTTTTTTTTTTAGAGAGAGAATTTCATGGTACTAAATAATATTTATACAATAACTTATGCAATTTTTTCCAAGGAAATCATTTCCCCCACAAATGTGTAATTTCTTTTTTAATTAATGCAGTATTTCAGGTTAAAATAGAGACTAGGCCTTAAAAATGCAGTTTTCTCATGAAGCTATGATTTTTTACAAAACATTTTTTGAAAACAAAATTTCTCAGTCAAAATTAACCAAAGAGCACCAGAGGGTTAATGAGGTAAAAAAAAAAAAAAGACAAACACCAATGACTTATTTATTATAGGGTAGAGTGGGGGAAATGCCTCCCTACTGTTTTTCACAAAATAACCACTAGATAAAGTCAAGATACATTTTTGTTGTAACTATGGACTGTGTTGACAAGAGTGATCTAGAAGTATTCATCGTGAAGCTCACACTGCTGATGAACCTGAGAGAAAACAGATTTCACAGGAAGTGATCTAATTTTCAGCAGTAAAAAAAAAAAGTGTTTTAAAGCTTGTTGTTTTGTAGAACATCAGTTATATATGATATGAGAATAGTTAGGCCTGTAGATTAGGAGTATGTGTTATTAAAGAAAAATATAATACTATTTTTAGAATTACATATTTTTCTCAAACCTAGTCAGTGGGGTCGCGTTTCCCCCCAATCTACCTTAATCAAAAATAATCTACTTGTTGAACAAAGTGAATTTCTTGAAGATGAGCTACCTCTTCTCTCTAAACCCGCTTTCCTTAATGTCAAGAAATATTTTAACCACTCAACACATTCGTATTCGTAGTATTGTTTCAGTAATTCAAGTTGTTCTCTGTCCTTGTTCCACTTCTGCACTGTGATTATTCCCTGCAGTACAGGTGTGATGTATCTGAACTCCTTCATGTCTAGAAAGATGAAATCCTGTCCATCATAACCGTGCTGATCAAACCCACGTGATTCTCCAGTCTCATCATCCCAATCACATCCATACATCCTCTGATACACATGAACACCTGAGGAAAAGAGAGAGAGGGCTTACTTGTATTTTTATTGTATAAGGTCATTCTTGATGTTTAAAACTGTAGTATAAAGTATTGTATCTCACCGTGTGACTGATTGAATTGCTCCATTATAAAACGAATGTTGATTTTGTTGGTCTGCTGCACTCGTTCTCTGAACTCAGTGTATTCTTTAAATCTGTCTTCAGATGCAAACTCCTTCATCCAGTCCTGTTTGGGAATCAGCTTCTTTATCTCACTGTCATAATAATCAATCTGCTGTCCATCCAGTGTAGTTACAGCAGAAATATCTAGGAATCCTGCAACCGTCTGTCCATTTATTTCAGTGTAAAGTGTGGGGAAGATGTGCCTCTCTGAACAAACAACAAGATGACAAAGCTCTCAAACACGATTAAACACCACATTAAAATGACTGTTTGCATGTTTCAGCATTTTCTTTTCACTTCATCAATACTTTTGCAGTTTCATCATAAATTAGGCATCACTGGAAAGGTTTAAATCTAAAACTCATCCTGTGAAAACATTGTGTTACATTATAAACTGTACTATAAAACCTTTTGCGAGCTCAGTTTTTGTGATATCAACTTCAAATTTGGAGCATCACTAGGTTAGATATACATGTATATTTTTATAGCAATTTTAGAGTCCAAATTATTTTGTAAAACAAATTTCATATAAAATAAGTTCAGTACATTGGCTTTACTAAAACTTCTAGAACTATTTTACATGTTCATTTTTCACGTGTTTATAATCTGCAGTGTCTTCTTTAAAAAGACCAACCTTGGGCCTGTATTTCAAAGCGTTCTTGAATCTATGGATCTATGTTAACGGGTTAATTTGCATCCAAATGTTCATATCTTTAGTCATTCATGTAGGACTAGATAAAAAAACTAATTTGATAAAAAGGGAGAAAATAATAATAATAAATTGTTTTATATTTGAGAAAATTAGAAAACACCACATGATTTTCTGTCAGTTCAACCAGGGATATTATCGATAGCTAAAACTATTAAAAACATTTCTGTTAATTAAAATAAAGCTGAAATAAAACAAAATTAACAATAAATCGAATAAATAAATATAATAAAAGTATTAGTTGAAACTAAACAAAAAGGCAAAAAACTGAAATTAGTTTACGTTGAAGCACTAAACTAAACGCTTATTCAACATACTAATAAAACTAAAGGGAAGTAGCTGAAGGCCTTGCTGACGGAAAAATCTTTCTTTCCTTTTTAACGCCATGCCAGCTTCTGTGGCTATATTCACGAGAGCCTAAATATGGATTTACTTGATTAGCTAACAGAGAATTCATCCTTTAAATGATGTTATGAAATGAATCTCACCTGAGTAAACAAAAGGTACGTAGATGAAGAAAACAATGACCTTCATTATGGATAAAGATCTATGCATTTGACTCTCAAATAAGCGTAGCTGTCAAAGAGCTCTGCAAACACTCTTCAAAAACTTCACCACATCCACAGGAAGAAGTGGTTACTGAGGGAAGCTGCAGGTCTAAATAAACAGTTTCAATACGGATGTTTAAGGAGGAAAGTTTTACTCACAAGTTGACTGCTTTATTCAGTAACCATTGTTTTCCAGACAGACATTCGATCATTTCTGTTAACAGGTAGATCTAACACTAATATTCAGGTACGGAAATACTGCAGAAATTGAATGAAGTAATCAAACGTAAAATAACACTGGATAGTCTTCACTGTATAAATAAATTCAGACAAGTCCTTACACAATCCAGTGCCAAATAAAGCCCTGTCCTCCTGAAGCTCCACAACCTCTCGTGAGCCAAAAGGTGCCTTACGTGCCTTCATTTTCATTACCAAGAACAATATTTCAGCAACAGTCACATCGGCCCTTGAGGAGGAAAATTATGCAATTGACCCCCGGTTTCACAGACAAGGCTTAAGCTAGTCCTGGACTAAAATGCATGTTTGAGCTGTTTTAACTGAAAGCCAGTTGCACTGACATATCTTACAATTTGTCAGTGTTACTGTTTTGTCTCAAGATGCACACCAGTAATGTTTTTTTTTTTTTCTAAATCACCTTTATAAAAGCTACTTAAATTCCCTAATTGAACTAAGACTTAATCCTGGCTTAGTCTAAGCCCTGTCTGTGAAACCGGGCCTTAGAGTTTTCTCAGCTAACACACGATGTACCAGTTATGTAATCTATAGGTATGTTTTGGTCATTTCATGATTTAATAATTGGACGTTAATAGGACATTGCATGCCCATGATTTAATTACCATAAAATTACCAACTCAAAACGTCGTCAGCGCTAACTCTTATGGTTATAAGAAAACCAACAACGGCCCAGCTACATATTATATTCATAATACTTTAGTCATTTCATAACTTATTGGCAACATGCAAAGTCATGGGTCTGACAGCACACATCCATCACAGAGACATCTATTTGACATCTGCATTTACATCTGCAAGATGTATTTTTTAGAGTGTTTGCTCATCTGCAATACATCTACAGGATGTTTCCTATCAGATGTCAAATAGACGTTTAGAAGATGTCTTTAAGATGTTTATGATTTAGAATGAATGTAAAACTGACATCTCACAGACGTCTATCAGATGTTTGTATACAGCAGATGCTTTCCAGATGAAGTGATCTTTAACAGACATCTTGCAGACGTATGTGTGCTATGGTTAAGATAACTAATAACAATAGTCACATACTATATTCATAATACTTTAGGAATTTCATGATTTATTGTCTGTACTTTCATTCCCATCAAATTACACGTTAATTTAATGTTTTCTGATGACTTTTTAAAATGTGCTATTAAACATCAATGACAAAATTTAACTTTCCTTAACACAAAAGGTGTTTCTTTTTACCAAGTCAACATAAATGGACTGTTTGATCTTTATATATGAAGTGATATACAGCGCGCACCTCCACATTTGAACTGAAGAGCATGCACACAGTAAAATGTCTGACTGGACAGTTCCTTTTTCTGAGGTGAGAGACTTATTTTTAATTAGGCAACATTAGGAAAATAATGTTAGAATAATGTTTATAGTTGACTTATAGTTTGACAACATCTCATTTGACAGCAGATACGGAATAATCACAATGCGATTTTTCCAGACACTTTTTACTGCAACTGTGTCTGACAGAAGATTATGTTTTTCTGAGGTGAGAGGCTTAAAAATGTTTGAAATAAAGCATAGGGATGCATGGAGCACAAACAAACACAGGGTTAGTTGTAACCAGAGGTGGACAGTAACTAAGTACATTTACTTGAGTATTCCCACATTGTTTTGAACTATGCGGAGTAGCTGTGTGTTGCTATCAGGGCCGTCCCATGCATAGGCCCTGGTTACAATGTGTTCATTGTCAAGTTTATTTTTAATTCTTAAAAGACAGGATTATTTTATTTAAAAAAAATGAATTATTTTATTTTATTGAAAAAATATATTTTTGTTTGTCTTGTATATTTTTTTCATTAGATCAGATCAGAACATTTTAAGCTGTCATATGTCCACCTATGGGGCATGTTGTCACATTTTACTTCAGTTCTTTTGGGGTAAATATAGAAAAAAGTGAAATTGTGACAAGTGTGTGAAATTTGAAAACAAAAAAAACATTATACTCTGAGCCCCACGTGAATTTACACACAAAGACATTGCACCTGCAGCATCGGCAGTTCATCACATTTTGTCAGCTTATATTGTTTTTTTTGCATATATTAGTTTTATTGAAAAACAAAAGATCTGCATGATGTTAGACGGTTTCATTTTAACAATAAAAACTCACAAAGCTAGCTTTTAAAAAAAATAATAACAGTCAGTAAACGTATATGTCTTTAAAATAAAATATTTAGCATTTACAGAAAATTTTCTTTTATAATATTTACAAATGCAAGAGGTGAACAACAAGTTCACACACACACACACACACACACACACACACAGTAATAATCAAAACACATACATCAAAGGCACACATTACTAACCTAAGTGTCATGTACAGATAGCATCTGTATATTCTTTTGTATTTGCACCTTCACATCAATATCCACACAATTCACATATCCACACAACATGGAAACAACACTTACTGTACATATTTACATAGTTGCATTAACTGAAAATGTCCAGTAATTTACTAGATGCTTCCTAAGTAACACATTTTATACTTACCTAATGGACTTTCTTTTTAATCATGTCATTGTGAGCCAAAACTGGCACTGATGCCCTTTCATAAAAAACAGGTCCATGATCTCCCTGCTCCTGAATGTTAACCAAAATTGTTGTCATCACAATTGTTGTCTGTTGAATCTTTAAAATTTAGGGACTCTGCAGACCCTTGTCCTTCGCTGTATTATGGGCTAAAATGCTTTGTCAGACTTTGTTTTCTGAAAATGAATGTCAAAGAATTAAAGAAGATATTATTAATTACCATTTGTACGACCACTAAAGCAGCATGTGACCAATTCAAATCCTTATTTTTTGGAATGATTGTGTAAAAACAGCTAATTCTATAAAAAATCTCTCAAATGCTGCTTAAACATTTGGCTTTATAAATATAGCTTTTATAAGTCAAACCTAACATTCTAAAATTCTAACATCTAAAATTTCTATTAAAAAAACTATAAAACTTATATATACAGTATATATACAGTGGGTACGGAAAGTATTCAGACCCCCTATTAGATCGGAATTTCTGAAATGCAGATCTTCTTTTGAAGATTTCTTTCAATCCAGTTTATATTGATATGGTTATGGGAGACTTTAGACTAGCCATCAGCAAAACTTGTATGAATAAGAGTGGAATATTTTGGTCCATGTAAACGCTGCTACTGAAAACTGGATTATGCATGTAACGCTTAGTTGAATAATAATCTTGATATTATGATCAGGGAGAGACAAATTATTAACAATAATTTCTTGATATCTGAAGACATTTTGGAGCAGGTACTAGCATTCAAACATTTGTAATCAGGGTTTGAAATTAACACCCGCCAACCCGCCAAATGCGGGTAAAAATCAGCTGTGGCAGGTAACGCTGTCAAATCACTAGCCAATTTGGCCGGTTACTTTTCGTAAGTTATGTTCACTCATTAATTTCTTGGGGAAGTTCATGCAAGCCAAATCTGCACAGGTTTAGCGCAAATACTGAACTCCTGAGACATCATGGCATTATTGAGTAGCCTATATTGCAAAAACCAAACAAAACACACCTACAAAGGCACGCATAAGCGACTACACTAACTTAGTGCGAGTGGCGGGTTACTTTTTGTAAGTTATGTTCACTCATTAATTTCTTGGGGAAGTTCATGCAAGCCAAATCTGCGCAGGTTTAGCGCAAATACTGAACTCATTACATTATCGAGAATATTGCAAACACCAAACAAAACACACCTACAGAGTGCACGCATCTGCATAAGCGACTAACATTACATTAACTTAGTGCACGTAGGCATTTAGAGTGCGTTCTTTCAGTGCATGATTCAGTCTATTAATATGCATTAAGAATGATCACATAATTCAAGATAAGGGGGCAGAAAATGTATATAGTTATATAATTTCATATAGTTAATCAATATCACACGAAGAGTGCCGTTTTAAATAAAAAATCAGCATGGTTACAAATGTGATTTGTGAATTGATTTTATACAAAAATCAGCATGGTTACAAATGTGATTTGTGAATTGTGAATTGATTTTATACAACAGTTTAATAAACAATAAGTTAATATCAAGAGACTTACGTTTTAGACACCATGCCTGCTTTTGCTCTATTTCACCAACAAAAACAATTCCAAACACAGCCACAGCACCGTTTACATGTGTGCACATGTAGAGAAGACTTTTGTCAGGTTTTATTTTTATTTTGCATGTTCCGAAATTCAGTTTTTCTTTTTGTTGCCTCAGGGCAACGTTGTGCAATAAGGGTAAGGAAGCAGGGGTTCACGGCTCCCATCCCTAATCAGGATTTCCCATTGACAATACATACAGGCAAATAATGTGTGACAAAAAGAGAAGATGCAAGGTTCCTGGGTGCACAGGAACATCCAAAGTGATGTGCAAAAATTGTAACGTGCACCTCTGTTTCACAGCAGAGAAAAAGTGCTTTTTGAAGTTTCACACGGAGTAAAATTTCATTCCATGAAGTACATGATGTGACATGGCACACCACATCAGGTTTGGGAAACTTCGGTCCTGGAGGGCCACTGTCCTGCAGAGTTAGCTCCAACCCTAATCAAACACATCAGAACCAGCTAATGAATGTCTGTTAAGATCACTAGAAAGCTACAGGCAGGTGTGTTTAATTGTTGTTGGAGCTAAACTCTGCAGGACAGTGGCCCTCCAGGACCGAAGTTTCCCATCCCCGTACTATGACACAAACCTACGTCTGTATCAAATGCAATATATCAATGTGTTTCAAGTGTTTTTCCCTTTTCACTTAATGATTTCTAGACATTTTTTGACAGATTTGTGATTTTGTATTGCTCTCTGAACAATGTCTTATGAAATGTGAATGGAGAATTTTCTCCATGATTCTGCAACATTGTTGCACAACATTGCCCTAAGGCTAACCCGAGTGCGTATAAATAGTACGCCAAATAAAAACGTAAACTCGTGGCATTGATACACATAAATGGACTTTGGCGTGTATATGCTATGTGATGGGTAAGATTAGGGTTGTGGGGTAGATGCGTATCATATGCACGCGAAAACTGTGTATCATAAGCACGCCAAACACGCGCGTAGCATATACACGCCAAAGTCCATTTTTGCGTATCAATACCACGAGTTTTCGTTTTTATTTGGCGTACTATTTATACGCATTTTCATGAGACCGGGGTCCCTAAAGCAGGGGTCTGCAACCTTCAACATCAAAAGAGCCATTTGGCCCCTTTCCCACCAAATAAAATTCACGTGGAGCCACAAAACCTATTTGATCCTTAAAATGAAGATAGCACAGCATATAGCTAAAGTTTTATATGTTACAGTGCAGGGGCGCAGCAATCATTTCAGAAGTGAGGGGGACAGAGATGTCAAATGTAATAATAATAATATTTATGTATGTATGTTTGTCTAATTGACAAAAAAAAAACGTATGTCTTCTTATGTTTTACTTTTAATTGGCTAAGAAATAAAATACACTGCTGGACAATAACCAATAATTTGCTTTCTATAATATTTTTGATATATATTTTCCTAATGACAATTTTATGATTATGATTGGTTTATATTCTACGAACAGGGAGCCGCGGGTTGCCGACCCCTGCCTTAAGGCAACAAAAAAATATTTTGGGATGGGGGGTGAGGGGTGATCAAAAAATGTTTTATTAATAAAATGTTCCCAAATAAACTAAAAAATGATGTGGAATCATTTTTGTATCATGTACCATCAAAATGTGTGCAGTAGAGGGTTAAGAGGTCAGTTTAAAAAAAATAAATAAATAAAAATCATTCATAATAATAACATGCATTTAGAAAATAGATTTAATTTCATGTCAACTTGTCATTTATCATTCTAAATTTCCATAATGATTCGCAAAATTAGTAAAGCCTATTTAATTCCACCTTGTTCATGTATCAAAAACATTAAAACGTCTGTGTGAATCCAAATGTTTGAATGCTAATATCACTGCTGAAGACATTCCCATCATTCAACAGCTGATGAAGCCACTTGAATGAGAAATAAGATCAGTTCCAAGAATGACAGGTAAACATATACTTACCATATGACGCATTGTTTGGATTACAATAAAAACAAGCAGAACCACAGCTGTGTTTATCCCCATCCAAATCACAATAATGCTATGGTGTAATTCTGGATGTCCTAGAAATTGTTTTTTTTAAATACAGAAACACTTAAATAAAAATGCACAATTATATGCAGACACAGCAAAATAGGGCTGCAGCAACTAGCTGATAAAATCTATAATAATTAATGGTTTATAATAATTAAGCACCCAATCCCAACCATTTCTAATATACATTTGATTAGTATTGCTAAAAATTGCAGATACATCTTTGATTGTCAAAAGAATTGCAGGTGCAGTTCCCTCTCAGCCAATTAGATTTTACGTAGCATTTTCATCAGTCAGTCATGGAAGTCTGATTGATTGACTTTTGGCAACGTTTAGTTCAGGTGCAAAAATAATTAATTTCTAGCGCAAGAGCATGGAGAGATTTAAGATATATATACATATACACTTACTGTAGTTACTCTTGATCTCGTCCGCTCTCAGAATCTTCTGGGTGGTCTTTCCCTCGTGCTCCACCACACAAACATACTGGTCCTTCTTCCAGTCATCTGGATGGACAAAGAGGGTAACAGACCTCTGGAAGGTCCCATCCTCATTTGGAAGACTTTCTCCTAACATCATTAAATTATTTATATCTTGGCCATTCTCCCTCCACAAAATGGTTGTTTCTTTGGAGTGAAGACCTGTGACGTGACACTCCACATAATAGTCTGGGTCCAACTGCAACAGAGACACTTTGGAATGCTCTGAAAATCAATACAGAACAAGGAACAAAACTAATATGAATCAGTTGATTCCTCGTAGTTATGATGCATCCTACGAAACATATGTTCAGAAGTGTTATATTAAATACAAAAAGCAAATCAAAACCAAACAAACTAATAAACTAAATAAAAAAAAAACTAAACAAAAAATATAACATAAAATATATTTTTGTGTTTATACTCAAACATAACAATAGTGTCATGTTAACGTAACAGTCAAAACAGTCATGGTAATGTAAATTAATGTTAATGTCAATGTAAAGTGCTGTGATCCTATACCTGTTCTCCTAAAAGTAGTGTTTGCCAAATTTAAAAACTTCTTCATCCAGTTAATGCACTCATATTTATAGTATTGTGTTAGTGATTCAAGCTGTTCTCTGTCATTGTTCCACTTCATCACGGTGGGTACTCCCTGCAGTACAGGTGTGATGTATCTGAACTCCTTCAGGTCCAGTGAGATCAAATCCTCTCCATCATAACCGTGCTGATCAAACCCACGTGATTCTCCAGTCTCATCATCCCAATCACATCCATACATCCTCTGATACACATGAACACCTGAGGAAAAGAGAGAGAGGGTTCTCATTAGATTTAATAAATAACTCCTGCTTTTTTTAATGTTCAAAGTAATGCTTTAGTGTTTAAATGTTTAGTATAAAGCATTTTACTCACCATGTGTCTGATTGAATCGCTCCATTAGACGAGGAATATTGTTTTTGTAGATCTGCTGCACTCGCTCTCTGATCTTAGTGTCTTCTTTCCAGGTGTCTCCAGATGCAAACTCCTTCATCCAGACCTGTCTGGGAATCAGCTTCTTTATCTCACTGTCATAATAATCAATCTGACGTCCATCCAGTGTAGTTACAGCAGAAAACTCTGGGATTCCTGCAACCGTCTGTCCATGTATTCCAGTGTATGTGGTGATCAAGCTGTGTAACTCTGAGAAACATAAGACACAATCAACAACACAAAGAATGGGTAAACAGTCAGAGTGTCTTAAACTATATTACCATGAAATACCACTATCCTAATGAATATTACATTGAGACTCTAATCCCAATGAAAATGACTATGTATTTAATTTTTTACATAAACAGCTATTCTAAAAGTCTTTTTAAAACTGTAGTTATGGCAGTTTGTCGTCACACATCTACATCCAATGAAATACATAGTTTCTTACATTAGTCCTGATCTTTACCTGAGCAACTACTGAATCCATCAAACATGCATAACACACTTTCTATTAGCCTGGATATTATAAACAATGCTGAAGAAAATATTACAATTTGTCGTCATTTTCCTTTCAGTTCAACATACGGAAGTAGCTTGAGGCCCTGCTGACAGAATTCATCGATCAGGATGTTATGAAATGAATCTCACCCGAGTAGACTAAAGTTACATAGACGAAGAAAATGATGAACTTCATCATGGACAAAGCTCCATGAATTTGAAGTTCTGAAAGTGTAGCCGCTGAAGAGTCACTGAGCAAGCTACAACCTGTAGAGTTGCAGAAAAGTCTCAATACGGAAGTTTGGGGCGGAAACTTTTACTCCCAGGCTGACGCAACGCGCTCAGTAAACCCGTTTTCCTGCTCTCTTCAGATCTGGTGAAGACCAAAGAATAGTTACGTTACTCCTCTGTGAATACACTTACAGAATTGTGGATTAAATTCATGGATTTTTGTTCGTAATGAAGTTCGTCATTTTCTTCATCTATGTACCTTTTGTTTACTCAGGTGAGATTCATTTCGTAACATCAATTAAACAATAAATTCTCTGTCACTTAGGCCTTAAGCTACTTCCTTGTGTTGAAATGTCGACACATTTTAATATTTTCTTGAGCATATTTTATCAAAACACAATCAAACATAATGTACTGACTATTTAGTTTATATTTTTATCTTCCAATGCAAGATTTTAAATTCTGCACTATTAAAATGTGCATACTGAAATCTTTTCAGTGAAGTGCATTTCTCTCATGCAGGAAGTAGGTGTACTGGATGAAAAGCAAAACAGAGGCACACAAGAAGAGAAATAATTCTATGTTAATGTCAACAACACTGCACATAACGTAAAGACGCACTAGAAAGTTTAAGAATATGCTTTGCTTAAATGTTCATCTCCTAAACTGTGGATTATGGTTGTTACACCCATACGTTGTTCTGAACTTGAAGAAACTATAATTTATCAATTCTATGGATAAAAAAATCAATCACAAAAAGAAAATATATAAATGGTCAAATTTGGTTTCATGCTGACTATATGTGAGCATTAGATGACTGCAAAGGTGATCTAAATTTAAAAGTGGAGGAAATGAACATGAACAATCAAATATCCAGCATCATCTAATGGCTTACATGCTAATGATATACATACTGTAGGGCATCACTTAGTTTTATGTCTTTGTGTTGTTGATTGTGTCTTATGTTTCTCAGAGTTACACAGCTTGATCACCACATACACTGGAATACATGGACAGACGGTTGCAGGAATCCCAGAGTTTTCTGCTGTAACTACACTGGATGGACGTCAGATTGATTATTATGACAGTGACAAAGGAACGCTGGTTCCCAGACAGGACTGGATGAAGGAGTTTGCATCTAGAGACACCTGGAAAAAAGACACTAAGATCAGAGAACAAGTACAGAAGATCTACAAAAACAACATTCCTCATCTAATGAAGAGATTCGATCAGACACATGGTGAGTTAAAAAATAATCTAGTATTAAGTATTTAATTTCTTTCTTTTTTTAATCAAATCTGGCAAGATCACACTCCTCTCTGTCGTTCAGGTGTTCATGTGTATCAGAGGATGTATGGATGTGAGCGGGATGATGAGACTGGAGACTCACGTGGGTTTGATCAGTACGGTTATGATGGAGAGGATTTCATCACACTAGACCTGAGGAAGGGCAGATACAACACATCTGTACCACAGGCAACAGTCACAGTGGAGAAGTGGAACAATGACAGAACACAGCTTGATTCACTAACAGAATACTACAGAAACGAGTGCAGTTACTGGCTGAGGGTTTTCCTTAAGAAATCATTTGTAGTGAAGAAAGGTACCTTGTCTTTGAGAACTTCAATTTGTTCAACACAGTTAAACAGTAATTTTGTAAAATATTACAGTTCTCTATGTGAATATCTGTTAAAATGTGATTTATTTCTGTGAAGCGAAGCTGAATTTTCAGCATCATAACTTCAGTGTCACCTGATCTTCAGAAATCATTCTAATATGCTGATTTGCTGCTAAAGAAACATTTCTGATTATTATCAATGTTGAAAACTGGTGCTGCTGAATAATTTTGTGGAAACTGTGATACACTACCGTTCAATGTTTATTTTTTTAAAGAAAAAATTAATTAATACTTTCATTCATCAAGGATAAATTGAATTGATCCAAAGCGTCACTTATAATGTTAAAAATGTATCAGTTTCCACAAAAATATGAAGCAGCAAAAATGGTTTTCAACATTAAGCTGCAAAACATTGATTTATGAATAAGATTTAGAATTAAATGACTCAAATGACACCTGAAATACTTGAATCTTTGTTTTAGGTCCTGATGTGACTCTGTTGCAGAAGAATTCCTCCTCTCCAGTGGTGTGTCATGCCACAGGTTTTTACCCATCAGCAGTGACTATCACCTGGAGGAAAAATGGACAAGATCACAATAATGTGAAGATTGGAGATACACTACCAAATGAGGATGGGACCTTCCAGAAGAATGCTACACTCAATGTCCTTCAAGATGTCTGGAAGAAGGACCAGTATGGTTGTGTGGTGGAGCACATCAATTTGACAGACCCAATCCAGAAGATTCTAACGGAGGACGAGATCAAGAGTAACAACAGTAAGTTGAAACTATAATACTGGTCAATTTTTTATTTCTACCTGTACTTTTTACTTATTTTAATGTCTAGACACTGAAAATGTGGATGCATAACTCAAGAGTAAAGTTTTTTTCTGTTATCGTTTGTTGTATTTAGTCTTGTTTGCCATATTATTCATATTGGGTGTAGTTTAACAAAATTATGTTTCTGTGTGTCTTCTAGAATCTACAATCCCAACATGGGTTTATATAATTTTGGCTTTTATAGCCTTTTTTATGTTTGTTTTTGCAATCATACTTTGGAAATACAGAAATGAATTCAAATCTGGTGAGTCCTATGACTTGTTATAAGATATAAAATTACTATCATATCTGTAAAAAAAAAAATCTGCATGCATTTCTGTGTGGGGTAGTTGAACCTGTACAATGAAGAGTACAGTAAATGTGACCCTGTTGGCTGTTTATCAGTTCCGTCTAATTTATTTTTTTCTTCATATGCTGCAATTAACAAACTGTAAACATTATTGATGTTGTGTGTAAAATAAGTGAATCACTTGATAATGTTCTCTAAGTTTCGTTACAGCATGTTACACCTCTCTGTAGCTCTTTTCACAGGCTACAAGAAGGTGCGAACGTTCATCTAAAGATGCTTGCACAGAACAGCCATGAGTTCTGCACCCTCTTACAACGTTTCCTCCAGAAGCCTGTCATCTGTGAGTGAATAGAGCCTCATGGTACCATCACAGAAAGACACAAAATTACTTTCCAGAACCTTCACCTTCACAGTGTCAGTGTTGCCAGATTGGGCGGGTTCCCGCCCAATTGGGCTTCTTTTGGTAACGTCAGACTAAATTTAGGGTTGATCAAATTTGGGCTGCTTTTTGATACAACTGGCGGGTTTTTCAGTTTCCGTACTTGTAACGTGGGAAATTCCCGTATATATTTCAGCGTGAAAGACGCTCGGGACAGATGACGGAATGTGTATCATTTGCGCGTGCTTTTGAGTCTTACAGTTTTAAACTTTGTGACCGCTTTCTGTGAGCTCACACAAAAAGCGCGCTCACATAATGCCGTATCTGAGAGCGCGTGACTACAGAGTTAAGTTGTGTTGCGCCTTATTGCCAAATACATACAAAATTGTGTCGAAATGCCTGTCTTGATGAGTATTCACGTAAACAGTCAATTTATACTAAACTCGGTATATAGGCTATTAGGCTATGTGTAACAGTTAGATCCGTGCATGAGGTCTTAAAGAGACAGCAACCTAAATAAACCTGCTGCTGTCCGTCACTAATGTTTATTTATACATTAAAGACTAACCAGTGTTATTTTAAAGTTAAATAGATTATTCAGTTCTGTTATACCTACCTGAAAAACTTAAAGCACAGTTAATTTTATTTAGACTGTTTACTTGTCTTTTTTAGTTCAAATTAATTCAATTCGGAGTTTGAAATCAAAGTTCTTTTTAAGTATCTTCCTCTCAACGTAAATATGAATCAACAACATTATAAATTGAAAAACACAAATACACTGGGTGACGAAACATTTAGGTTAGATTATTGTAGTTTAAAAAAATATGTCTAAAAAAATACCCTAACTCCTCCCTCAAATTAAAAAATCCCCCCCATGAGAGCCACCTAAAGGGGGAATCCCCCCCCATTTTCCAAAATGAAATTCAGGACCTGTATGCACTCTTAAAAATAACGGTGCTTCAAAAGGTTCTTCAAGCGATGCCATAGATGAACCATTTTTGGTTCCACAAAGAACCATTCAGTCAAAGGTTCCACCTTCACAGTGTCAGTGTTGCCAGATTGGGCGGGTTCCCGCCCAATTGGGCTTCTTTTGGTAACGTCAGACTAAATTTAGGGTTGATCAAATTTGGGCTGCTTTTTGATACAACTGGCGGGTTTTTCAGTTTCCGTACTTGTAACGTGGGAAATTCCCGTATATATTTCAGCGTGAAAGACGCTCGGGACAGATGACGGAATGTGTATCATTTGCGCGTGCTTTTGAGTCTTACAGTTTTAAACTTTGTGACCGCTTTCTGTGAGCTCACACAAAAAGCGCGCTCACATAATGCCGTATCTGAGAGCGCGTGACTACAGAGTTAAGTTGTGTTGCGCCTTATTGCCAAATACATACAAAATTGTGTCGAAATGCCTGTCTTGATGAGTATTCACGTAAACAGTCAATTTATACTAAACTCGGTATATAGGCTATTAGGCTATGTGTAACAGTTAGATCCGTGCATGAGGTCTTAAAGAGACAGCAACCTAAATAAACCTGCTGCTGTCCGTCACTAATGTTTATTTATACATTAAAGACTAACCAGTGTTATTTTAAAGTTAAATAGATTATTCAGTTCTGTTATACCTACCTGAAAAACTTAAAGCACAGTTAATTTTATTTAGACTGTTTACTTGTCTTTTTTAGTTCAAATTAATTCAATTCGGAGTTTGAAATCAAAGTTCTTTTTAAGTATCTTCCTCTCAACGTAAATATGAATCAACAACATTATAAATTGAAAAACACAAATACACTGGGTGACGAAACATTTAGGTTAGATTATTGTAGTTTAAAAAAATATGTCTAAAAAAATACCCTAACTCCTCCCTCAAATTAAAAAATCCCCCCCATGAGAGCCACCTAAAGGGGGAATCCCCCCCCATTTTCCAAAATGAAATTCAGGACCTGTATGCACTCTTAAAAATAACGGTGCTTCAAAAGGTTCTTCAAGCGATGCCATAGATGAACCATTTTTGGTTCCACAAAGAACCATTCAGTCAAAGGTTCCATCTCTTTCTTACCTTTTTGTAATCTGAAGAACCTTCTTTGTAGTTGGGCTGGAGATCTTCAATCCAATCTGGCAACACTGACCAGCGTTCGCACACTAGACGCCGCGCCACTGAAATGTTAGCACAGTTACTGAAATGACAATCAGATTCGGAAAAGCTAAAAGCTAAGCTTGATTCTACTCATTTTAGAGGCTTTTGTAAAGCTAGAAATGAATATTTTCCTTTTTTTAAACACTAAATTACTACATTAGACTGTGCTATACTGAAGAAACAACCCTCATGGTAACAAAAACAGAAAATCTAGCTTTTTTAGCAAGCTAAAGGGGAAATAAAGAGAAAACTGAGGAATAAAAAACATTGAAGACAGAGAATGAAGTCGTCGCTAAACTATTAAATCTGACAATCAGATTCGACTGCGCTCTCGCAGAAGCTAACAGCTATGTTTGATATGTTTATTACGCTTTTCCCTGATGTTTTAAAGGCTTTTAAAAGAAGCTAGCAATCAACTATTTTCTTTTATCTGTGGAGGATTTTTGGCTAATGCTAATGCTAAAATACCACGTTAGACTATGCTAAACCAAGAAACCGCCCTCATGCTTACAAAACAGAAAAGCTAGCTTTTTTAAGAAGCTAACAGCTAAATAAAGAAAAATTCAGAGAGAAATCTTGGATAATGTGTCACATTATTTGAAGATGGAGAATGAGAAAGGCGAAGCTAAACTATGAAATCTGACAGAATCAGATTTAATCACACTCTCGGAAAAGCTAAAAGCTATGTTTAAATGTTTATTACTCTTTTTGGTTTTTTTTCAGATGGATTGACATTTATAGGCTCTGCAAGAAGCTAACCATTTCTTTTTTATCTATGGAGGCCTTTTGGCTAATGCTAATGCTAAAATACCACATGTGAAACTGTGCTAAAGTCAAGAAACAACCCTCATGCTAATAAAAACAGAAAAGCTAGCTTTTCGGCAAGCTAACGGGGAATTAAAGAGAAATGTCACATGACAGTGCTAAATGGAAAAACCACGCTCATGCTAGCATAAAAACAAACTCAGACTTTGAAAGCTAACTTTTTTAACAAGCTAATGAGGAAATAAAGAGAAACAGAGAGAAATCATGGGCAATGTCACAATATTTAAAGACAGAGAATGGAAAAAGTCTCTGCTAAACTATGAAAGCGTAGCGAGAGAGACAACTGAGATTGTCAGCAAGCTAACTTTCGCATGTAGCTCAGTTTGGAAGAAACCCATTTTAGATACAGATATTACATCAACGTTCCCTTTATTTAAGATCTTTAGCTGAATATTTCCTCCACACGTTAATGTATTTTTGTATGCACTCAATGCTAACAATGTGCACAACTAGCATGTACGCTAACCGCTAGTCTCAGACTCAGGCTTCAATTTTTTGACAATAACTGTTTTCCAGTTCAGCTCCTGAACACAGGCCTGTGTTATTCTGCTCATGCACTGCGACTGAATCAAACGTGGATGTTATTCTGAATGAAGAAATGCTTGTTTTCATAATCTTTCATCAAATATAATCACTTTCACTGCCACTTTATTGACTTTGCAGCTGACGCAAGTCTCCGCTCACCAGCTCAGCCAGGAAATTTACATATTGGCCAATGTTATATATATTTCTCGCTTTATAACTTACTTAAAAGCTGTTTTTAGCTGTAGTGCAGCAAAATGAGCCAAAAAAGACATGCAGTTTTATGCAAGAAAATTAAAGGAAAAGTGATTTTGCCTCATAAACCGGTTAAATTAGGTTTTTTAAATCACGGTTCATACATAAATAAATAAATAAATAAATAAACTAACTGGGTAAGGGAAAATAATCATCAATAATATTGTTGATGAAACCATTTGATCTCTTATAAAATTCCACCTGCTTTTTTTTTTTCCTACCAAACTTTCGGTTTAACTTTAAAATGTCACACATGAATGGATTTCATGCTTTTATTATTTAATTTTTTTTATTTCAGTGCATAGGAAAAATTTATTATATAAATTATGGAAAAAATATAAAATTAACAAGAATTATAAAATACATTAACAAATATAATTGAATATTAATTTTATATATATACATATATATATACAATTATTAAATAAAAATGTTATACATAAAAAGTTTATACAATTAGTTATACAAAAATAAACGTGCATTTGTAAAATATACACAACTGGATTAAAAAATATAATTTGATATATATTACTTGATACTTAAATATAATCACTGTGTATATTTATAATTTTATATTTTAAATATACATATAAATAAAATAGAATTTTATTACGTTAAAACATGTATAATGCATGCACTTTTTTTTGTAATTTAATAACTTATTAATTTTATAAATTAGGCTATACAGGCTATATAAAATATAATAATAACATGTAAAAATAAAATTATATAATATATAAAATATATAATATTCAAATAAAATATAATAATGATGGTTTGATATATATTACTTAATTATATATAATGGTGTATATTAATTTTATTTTATTTATTAAATCATTGTTTCTCTAAACACTTAAAGTGATTTAAATTAGGTTGTTGTTCATTTGCATAATCACAGAAGTTCTGTGTACACTTAATAACTTTGCTGCAATGCAAATGGTTGCTGAAGTTAGTGAACTTGTACATCTATAAAGACGTCTTGATGATTTATGTAGACTAATCAGTCTGTTTGATGTATATATATGTAGAGATATTTCCAGCACAATCAAGCTGATTCAGATTCTGCTGTAATGTTTGTGTTCAGGGTTTCTGTTATCAGCGAGACTCAGGTGTTCTTCAGCTCTGAGTTCAGTCTGCTGCATTTCATCTCATTCTGCTGCGCATTTGGTCTTGTTCGTCCTCGTAGCGTCTCACACGCTCCTGAACAGTGTTGTTGGTAACTCATTACAAGTAATGCGAGTTACGTAATCAGATTACTTTTTTCAAGTAACTAGTAAAGTAACGCATTACTTTTTAATTTACAAGATCATATCGGAGTTACTTTTTCAAATAAGTAACGCAAGTTACTTTTTTCCCCCAATTTATTGATTGACAGCTCTCCTGTCCCAATGTTGAGAGAAATCAGAAGATGTTACTGTAGTTCTAAAATAAATATGAATATATGAATAAATATGAATAAAAATTACTCTAGACAAACATTTGTGTCTTTTTTTATTGCTGAAGTGTGTTGAAATGTCTTCTTCTGCATTCTACTGTACGGACGTAAAGTTACTTTCCCTTCAGCCTGAGGCTTATTCATTTCACTTTTGGTGTGAAAAGACTTTTTTATATTTGCCAAAAATATAACTTTTTTATTTTAAAAACAAACAAGCAAGCCATGTCCAGATTTAAAAAGTAACGCA